CAATCTCCATTAATAGATTTTTTTTTAATACCACAGTTAATTAAAATAAAGAAAGAGAGAAAGAGAGAAAAAGAGAAAGAAAGAAAGAGAGAAAGAAACGCAAAACCTCTCCAAGTTTTGACACAGTGAGCTTCAAGGCAGGGCTAGAGATGAAAACTTATTTTCAGCTGTATCCTCTGTACTGTATCAGTGACTGTCTGCTTGTTTTTTGCTGTATATTTGGGATCCAGACCAGGGAAGCCACGACGCTACATCTGTGTCAACCAAAGCTCCAACTGCTGACCAGAGCCCTGCCAGTACACAGCCATCAGCCCCAGCTCCAGGGGACCACACAGAGAGCATCAGTCCTGGCCACCAGCATCCTAACACTTCTTTCCAAAATGAGGTAATGACACCTACGGGAAGGTGGGCATTTCATAGTCATTTCTGTTAATATTTAGCTGGCATCCCACTTAGGGACCCCATTAGGAAAGGCAGCAAAATAATTCTAGATTAAACCCCTTTCTGCCATAGCTTTCTAGTGAAGAGATGTGGAGGATGGAGGTGAAAGGGATCATGGTCTGGGTGCTGAACAGGGAAGAAGTGAAATTTGGGAAGAGAGAGCGAAGCACTATGGAGAGCAGAAGCTGCCTTGGGATGGTCTTGGACATTATAAGAGGGCAAAGACAACAATTCAGCATCAACCATATCTGGATTATATTAACAGAAAATGGTTTGGGAGCACAGAGAGGTCTCAAAACACAAGCCAGGATAACTAAAGTGCTGGGAAGGAGGGAAGAGGATCCTGTTTCTAGATGCTCATCTTTTGTAGGGCAGGACTACATCATGGCCCACTGACATGGATCTTCCTACTGCCCTAGCCAATTCCTGCCTTACCCCGTACTGTAAATGCAAAGCCTGGTTTGGGAAGTGCATTAGCAAACATCCTGCAGTCAACTGTGTCAGTGGTCAGTGAAAACTCTTTCCACGTATAAAAGGTTGAGCAAAGGGCTACCAGGCCTCTTTTCCATACAACAAATCAGAAATTTGGTTGGGATGTTTCCTGGCTTGGGACAGTGTCTTATATTGATGACAAACTGCCCTTCCAACCTATATCAATGATTTGAGAGTTGCTTTTCTTCTGTCTTTCCAGGTCATCTGTAAAGACCAGGTGCAAAATAATTGGCCCACCATATATCTGAAAGAAGCTAAAACCTGTGTAAGTACCACCCTTTGGACTTCGCTGTAGGATCAGAGCTGTGTTGCTGTTGGAGATCAGCTTTTAACCTGTGGTTCTCTGGGCATGTGAACCTACAGAGGTGAAAGTAATTTCATTAAAATAATATGCAACCGCTTTGGGGTGTAAAATGGTAAATGCAAACCCATGTTCATCAGTATCACTTGGTAGGGGATATGGCAGGAGGAGAAGAGGCTCATGTGGTCTTCAAGTAGAGAGCCCACCCACCCAGGTCTCAGAAAAAGAGAAATGGGAAATTTTAGAGGGCGAGGGAAAGATTTTTGCCTTTGTAGAAGGGCCATAGGTTCATCCCAAAACCCAAGCAAAAGAAATATGGAGGTTGTCCACAGTTGTTGTGTACTTGGTGAGATCTTGCAACCACACAGCTGGGGTTGGGTGGCATCCGACTGCAGAGCATTTGGGAAGCACAGAAGCTTGGAGTTTGGGACTCACTGTGCTCCTCGATGCCACATCAGCTCTCATAGAACCCTGAAGTGAGAGCACAAAAACTCCATTTCATTTGTTTCAGACTCTCTGCAAGACCAGGGAGTAGTAAAATGTAGCACCAAGGTTGGGGAAAGGCAAGCCCAACCCAAGACTATACACCAAGACCCCTTCTTCTCGTGGGTGCATCCTGTCTGCTGGGTTTTCTGCAGGATACCCACCTTTGAAATTATTCTTGTGGAAACTGTGAGTTCCCTGTAATAGAGAAGATGCAGTATATTGATAACTTTTAAGTGGGCTGAAGTTTTACGTTTAAGTTTTAAAAGGAAGAGACACCACCTCATGGCTGGTGAGATCTTGACAGATTGTATCTATCTGAGTTATGGCAGAGCTCAGGGACGGGTTTTGGCATTGTAATGCCCCCGTTTCTGGATCTCTAAGCATTGGGAAATTGGCACTTCAGGGATCATTGCTTATGTTGCACAGCACCAAAAATAACTGCTTATGTTCGTGAACCCTCTGCTGTCCCATCTATAAAATGGACTGACTTTTGACTTCACCATATGGTGGTAAGACACAAAGTGAAGTCACAATGTGTTCATAAAACCCCTTGACATACATGTTGAAACGAGCACGGTTGCTCCTGCTGACCACAGCAGCTCTTCAAATTCCCTCTTAGTTGGTTGTCGCTGCCTGGCAGCCCTTGGACCTCCTGATAGCACTCACCGTGCTCCTGGAGCAGGGGAAGCGCCTGGCTGCTGCCGTCTCTTGGTCATCACCTTCCTACTTTGGCTGCTGCTGGGTGTAAATGCTCCTTGCCTGGACACCTGCAGAAACGATGATGTTCTTAGCCCTTAATGCTGAGGATGACTCCAGGGAGGGACCATGATGCCCGTGGCCCAGATGCCACAGCAGGACAACCCCTCCTGAGAGCATCCCCTGCCCTGCTTCATCAATGTCTGCAGCTGTGTCCACATTGGGAAAGCTTCTAATCAAATTCTGTATTTAATATATCAAAATATTACATCAGCTTGACAAAAATTGAAGTTTTGAGCCTGAAGCACCCAGGTGACTTTTGGCCATGCTGGCGTTAAATGGTTCCCTCCTCCTCCTGAGTGCAGCCATACTCTGTGCAGAGCTGCTGTCCTCCCCATGGCTTCGCTGGAGCTGTGCCGGGAGGCTATCTGGAAATGGGGATGATAAGGATGGGAAGTGCTGGTACGCACTGGTGAGCTAAGGAGTGGGCAAACATCACAGCTTGGCACCCTCCATCGCTCCTCTCTGCCCGCTCCACTGGGCGATGGCGAGCCAGCGAGTGCTGCCCCGGTTCCCTTCAACCCCTCCAGGCATAATAATGAGCCGAAGCATTGGTAATGCAAAATGCCAATTACGCCTTGAAACAGCTGCAGAAAAACTGCAAGGGTGCATCCTCCCATAGCATCGCTCTCCTCGGCTGCCAAAACACCTCCCACCCGCTCGCTGTTAACTTTCCACTCGGCCTATTCCTGAAAACTTGCAATGAATTTTATGCCTCCCAAGCCGAGCAGATAACGGAGAAATGGCACTATCTGGTTTCCCTGCTTTGTAGGCCCGGTAAACAAGTCTCTAGCCAAATCTTGACAGCAAAGTGAAAAAATCCTTTGCATTTCACAACCCGTGGGAAAACAGGAAAGTGTGTGCTATAAGGAGAAGTGTTCCAGAAACAGCTCCAATCCTGGTCCGCAACAGCGAGCCAGAGTTGCAGCCACATTGTGCTAAAGGCTCAGCTCCAGAAAGGAGATGGGGAAGCATCAAGGGCCACACAGGTGCCTGGTGGTGGGGGATCACACATGGCAAGGGAGAGGGAGATGCAGACCACCCATGCTGGCCATAGCTGGGCCTGTGGGGCAGCACTGGTGATGCAGGGACCTGAGCAAAATGGTTGGGACTGAACCCTGGAATTGCAGCCATTGCACCCCCCTGCACCTCAGTTTCTCCAGCTGCAGTAAATTTAAAAAGAAAAAAACCCTTCAATCTGTAAATCTTAAAAAAACCCAGAGCCAAACACATGGTTGGTACCTCTTTGTGGATCAAAAGTACTTTACAGGATGGTTGGTTCCCACCCTCCCTCCTCTTCAGGTGATGCTTTTAATCAGCACTGAAGTTTGGTCCATGTTCCCTCACCCTCCCTTTTACCCCTTCACCTTCCTCTGATTACAGCAGGATCTTAATGAGTTTCCTAATAAGGCTCATTAGCTCGAAACCTTGAGTTACATAGGATGACGTTCCTAAGATCCGGCTCACAAGTGTATCTTAGTTGGGTTTTTGTTGGCTCCTTGGTTTGGTGTGGCTTTGGGATAGATGGATGGATGGATGGCTGCTCTGTTCTTCATCCCAACCCCAAAATGTCTTAGGTGAAGCAAGAGATGACCATAGCAGAGGTGACTGGTGTCCCCCAAGCTCTGGTTGAGCCCCACAATCCTGTGGGTACCCCCCGGAAGGGTCAGCGTGGTTCCTCCACTGTGTCCCCAGCTAGGACATAGATGTACCCAGTGAGACAAGCGTGAGGATGCTGGGGAGGACCAGAGCTTCCTCCAGCCAGGGGATGCAAAAGTAACAGCAGGACCACCTGGACCTGCCCCCAGGTGCCTGAGGGAATTTGCCGTGACACTCCCTGGTCTGGGGACAACAGGACGGTCCCCGGAGCAGGCAGAGGGATCCCCTCATTGAGCAGGGTCCTGGTCCCCTCGCCCTGTCCAGCTGGCGGGGCAGTTTGTTGACTCAAGTGCTGTTACCTCATTCGGGGATGTTGGTTTTAGGTCCCCGCCAGTGTGGGAACCGGATTCGAGCTGCTCGGCAGCGCCTGTCAACTCCGGCCAAGGAATGCGAGCGGCTCCGGCGGCAGGAGCCCAGAGCTGCCGGGGCCATGGCACCGCCGCCGGGGCATCCCTGCTGCCTGAGGCCAGCCCCTCTCCCTCCCTGGAAAGAGCAAATCCCTCCACTTCAGCCTCAAAAGGGGGTTCAGGCACCACTCACCATCCGGCAGCAAAGAAGTCTGGTGCTCAACTGGGGTTTAGCCTCGCATCTGATTTCCCTTCCCACACAGAAATAGCATTTTAAAGGTCTTTTTTTTTCCACATGGGGTTGTAGGAAGAGCAGTGAGTTATTAAGGGCTGGAGGTGTTTAAGGATAGGCTGGATGTGGCACTTGGTGCCATGGTTTAGCTGATGTGGTAGTGTTAGGTCATGGGTTGGACTTGATGATCTCAGAGGGCTTTTCCAGCCTCAATTTCTGTGATTCTTTTTGCTGCAGCAAAACCTGGGGAATGAGGATGCAGGGAGGCAGCAGAGAGGCTTTCCGTGCCTGTGCCGAGCAGAAAATGCTGCACAGGCAGGCACTGATAAACTGCAGGGCATTTAAAGCGTAGGAGCACAACCCAGCGTCGGAAAATGATAAAAACACCACCCCGACCAAGCCGTAACCCTCTCCTCCCTGTCCCACCGGGAACGAGCTGTGGGGATGCTATTTCACCACAATCCCATCTCACTGCCCTGGCGCAGGGCTGGGGCAGGTTCCTCCCTCCCAGCTCTTGTCCCAGGGATGCAGCTGGGATGGTGTGGACTCAATGGAGGGACTTGGGGGAAATTCCTCCCCCCTGCTGAGCAAAAGGACAGACAAGGGCCAGTGGCAGTTCCCAAGGATGGACGGGGCCTCACAATGCTGAGCTCAACCTCGCCTCATGCCCGGGTCTGGTCTTCCGCCCCGACAAGTGCATCCTGTCTCCACCAAATATTTAGATAAGATGGGGTGAGATTAGGTGCCTTCCTCGGCTGGGCGGCTCCCGTCCTTGTGGTGGAGCAAGCAGGGGGATGCTGCTGGCCATCATGGGTGCAAGTGGGACTCGGCACGGGTGGTGTTGCAGAGGAAAAGGAAGGTTTGGGGTGTGGGAGCAGAGCATTTCCCAGAGCATCCGTGCACGCAGCATTTCTGCACATAGGACACGTGCACACAGGGGTTGTGCATGGAAGAGAGTGATTGTCTCCAGCTTAGTGAGCTCCAAGCTGCTACAAAGCATTGAGTAGATGAAAAAATGCTCAGGAGCATCTCAGAAGGGACGTGGGCTCCATCCACTCCTCTCCATCCCTCCGCTCTGTTCAGGCTAAGCCTTCCAGTGATGCTCCAGTAAAACATCTCCTGCCTCCTCAGAGCTGCGGGGAAGCTCTAGAGAGGACAAGGAGTTGTATTGATGGGGACAGAGGGTAGAAATGTGGGTGACGGGAGGGTCACAGATGCCCACAAGGGCTGCACAGCCCCATCCTGCTCCCGCTGTGGCCCCTCAGCCTCCCCCACCCCGTTCCCCTTGGGGACCTGCTATTCCTGTAACACCAAAAGCTGCTGCCCTCAGATAAGGCCAGCGCAGGGCCCCGGTGAGGAACGGCAGCCAAGAGCTCGGCTTCTCATAAAGAAACTACTTTTAAACTTTTCCTGTTCCCTGGGAGGGCCGGCAGTGGCCGGGTGGTGCGAAGGGACAGGGGGGAAGACAGGGATGGACACGGCATCCCTGGCCATGGGGTGGGATGCTCCTAAGGACAGTGCTGAGCCCCTGCCGTCCCCACAGGCCGAGTGGAGGAGCGCCAGCACCAACGTCTCCTTCTTCGAGAGCTTCTGCTCGACGCGGCAGCGCGCGTTCAACGCCAGCAGGGAAACGTGCACGGTGACGCTGACCTCCGGCGAGCCCCGCTCCCAGCACTGGGCCGTGCAGGCGGTTCTGCACCGTGAGTATGAGCCCACCCCCCTGCCCGGAGAGAGGACCCCAGCGTGGGGATGGAGCCTGAGGCTTGGCAGAGCCCTTGAGGTCTCCTTTCTTCAGGCTGTCCCATCTCAATGACCCCAGAAATGAGCTTTTCTCCCCAAAGAATGCACCAGATCCCTCTCCCATCCATGAGAAACCAACCTCCAGGAGAAAAACTTTCTTGGTTAAAACTCAGCAACAAGTTCAAATCCTTCCCCGAGAGACCACAGAGGCCACGTCAGAGCCCTTTGGGCAAATCCAGCTCAGCCTGGGGGTGCCCAAACGCTGCTTTAGCACCAGGGTGCCGGGAGGATGGAGGCATCACGCTGCCCCAGCACGAGGGGAAGGAAGGACTGAGCTCCATCCTCAACATCATAACAGGGGTTGGGTGAGGGGCCCAACCTCCAGCACCCAACCATGGGCAGGGCAGCTGGGCTCTGGGGACTGATCCTGCACAGCTCTGGCATGGCCTGGAGCAGGCAGTTACAGCCCCTCACTGATCCCAGTCATGAATTGCCCACCAAAATTAAGGCCCCCACAAGGATGTGCAGCACCTGGCACTGGGGGATGGTGGGGACTGGGGTCACCCTGGCAGGAGAAGAAGTCCCAGCTCCTTGTCTGGCTGTGGAGGCATCTGCAAGGGTTGGTTTCATGCCCATACATCTCCATCCACCTCCTCCAGAAAGGGAGTCACCCTATTGACCAGTAGGCGGTGGCATAACCTGTCTCCCTACTCTTGCACTCATTGCAGCCTCTTTCTTCCTGCAGTCCCTTTGGACCCTGAAAACGTCCTCGAGGAGCTGAAGGAGAAGACGGACAGGTTAGAGGAGGTAAGCAGGCCCGTGGTGCAGCTTCCCCGTGGATCTCTCCCGAGGTGGGTGGCACAGGAAGCCCTCCCTGGGGTCTGATCCATCCTTTCTGCGGCAGCTCGGCATCGCCAACATCACCTACGACAGAATGGAGAGGGAAATGGTCATCAACGATGAGTTCAGCACACCCCTGATCATCACCATCATTACCCTGGCCGGCTCCCTGCTGCTGATCGCGGCCATCTACGGCTGCTGCCACCAGCGCTTCTCCCAAAAGAAGGACCAGGTAAGGTGGGAAGGGAGACGGGACAGGCACCCTGGGACTGCTTTGTCCCAAACGTGTCTCGAGATAGAGAGCACCAACGTTGCCATCTTTTCTGGTGGACACATCCTGGCTTGCTCAGTGGGCATCACCCTCACGTGTTGTTCAAGTGGTGCCCCAAGGGGATGGTCTGGAGGGGCTGGAGCTGCCCTTTGGGGGTGTCAGGGTGAGGGGTAGCCAGGATGAAAACAAGGAAAACAGGGGCTGGTGGTGGTGGGGTATGGCAGAGAGCAGTGTCCGTCCCCATTGCCACCCAGGGCAGCTGAGCAGCATCCTTGAGTCAGTTTTGACAACAAAACCTTTCTCTACACAACAACCTCCTCCAAACCCATCGATCCCCCCCAAAAAAAATTCTCAAAAACACCTTTATAAGCAGGGGAGCAGAGCTGGGTACCAGCATGACCCAGATGGCTGTTTGGAGGGGGAGAGAACAGCAGAAGCACGGCCGCAGGAGGGCATCGATGCTGCACGGCTCAGCCTTTCACAGAGCTGGGCCAGGGCCAAATTTCAGAGGAGCAGGATTTAAGCAGCAGGATTTAAGGAAGAACAGACCTGGGAAGGGGAGGAAATAAAGTATTTTTATTTCAGGAAGCAATTCTGGGTGATTTTAGCATAGCACTGGCTGGGAGAGCTCTGCCCCGTACCCAAGGTTTGCATCAGCCCCTGCTCCTCTTGCTGAGGACCGAGCTCCAAAGGAAAGACAACAACAGAAAGGGGGGGGAAAAATGAGGCCAACTGATGCAATTAGGGTAAAACTGCCCTCCCGATGGAGAAGCAAACCCCTGGGTCCTCCTTCAAGTCATTTACCCCCCACCCCAAACCAGCTCAACCTTCCCACGTGGTCCCAACCTCTGCCCCACGTGCCAGGAGCCGCAGGAAGGTGAGGGATACGGCAGCCTTTGCTTAAATTTGGAGACGAACACAGGAGGCAGGGAAGAGCAAACCAATGCTGGCATCAGGGTTGTTTTTAAAAGGTTTGAATTTTCAGGAGGGAATGGAGGAGGATGTGAGACCTCAGTAGATATCTGACCTCTGCTATGGTCCCATTGGATCTTATGGGTTTTCACAGCCAGGCTCTCCCTCGGCTGAACGCTCTTGTCCTGTATTGTGCAGAAAACAGGTAGAAATGAGGTGTTTTTAATGATGCAAATGCACGTCTCATGGTGCAGAGGAACAGGTACCAGCCCTGACTGGATGCTCTGGGGCAAATACCCACCAGGCACAGGGTGAGGTAGCAAAACCAAAGCAACGGCTGCCCGTTCCCCGATACGGCTCTTGCTCAGAGTATGGGAAAATAACTTTTTCCAAGCAGTTGCACTAGGTTTTTAGAAAAATCAAACACATTTCTCCTTTCTGGATTTGTTTTCGGGTGGTTTCTTTTGTTCTGCTCCTGCTTCTTTTCCAAAAATGACTTGAAAGTTGTTTTCTTTTTATTTTTCTCCAACCCTCCCTCACTCCACCCCCTCTCTTTTAAACCCTGCTGTTGTTTTACCTTGGAAATAACCAGCACATCCACCCTGATCTCCCCGGGTTTGATGATGGACATGTGGCCCTGATCTTTAATGTGAGTTCCGACACAGGGATCGGAGGGGGGGGGCATCGCATCTGTAACATCCCCAGCTCTCACCCCCGGTGCTTGGTAGGATTCAGTAGCTTTTAACAGGACTAAAAGCCCAGCTTTAAAGCCCCCTTCCCCTTGCTGCACGGCAGAGGGGGGTGTCTTGCCGAAAGCGCTGTCCGAGCATCCACCCATCGGGGGGTTGGACCAACAACCCCATGGGGCAAAAACAGCCCCTGGGAGGGCCCAGGAGCCTCCTCTGCTTTCAAGCATCCCACCCCAGCTCCCCCATCTGTGCTCACATCCCCCCAAGGATGCACAACCCCAGGGACCACCTCCCATCAGTGCCTTTGCAGCGCCCCTGCTAGCACCGAGCCCTGCGGTTTTGCTTCTCCATCCCTTTCCTTCTCCGTGGATTCCCTCCCACGCCTGTCTCCTGACATTTATTAGGAGCACTGTAATAAATCAAGCTGTAAATCCAGGCGGATTTTAACAAGGGTGGCGATTGAGAGCGCTGCATTCCCTCAAAAAAAGGGCTGACCAAGGACTATAGGTTCCCCCTGGGGCAGGATGGGGACGAAGACGCCACGGGGTGAATGTGAAATTGGGATGGGGGTCTGCCAGGGGATGAAGGGCTGGGTCAGAGCCTGGAGTACCACGTACCCAAGCGCCAGGGTGGTGCAGCGCCTGATTCATCCATGAATCAGCCCGAAACCACGCACGGCCAAAGGGAAAGGGGTGGAGGGGCTGTTCCTTCCCTGCCTGGTTTCCAGCGAGAGCTCCAGAATGATGCTTACGGAGGGGCAAAGGGCAGCAGCTGCTGCAAGGTGGGAGCTGCCCCCAGGTCGAGGGGGAGGATAACAATAAAGCAGCTAAAAAGGGACAGAGGGGCAGAATGGGGAGGGAAGAACAGCATCGAGTTGGGGAGGAAGCAGCGAGGATGCAGGGTCAGGGTACCACACTGATGCTCAGTCTCTTCCCAAGGTCCTGGCAGCTGCTCCTGGAGGTTTTCCACATGTCTCTGGCTGCTCTTTCCTTCTTCCCACCATTAGCAGAGTCTCTCTCTTGCCAGCTCCGTGCTCTCCCCTCGCTGCGCTGACAGCAGCCCCCAGCCTTAACCTGACTGTGAAATTCTCTATATGTGGTCATATACAGGGAGACACTGGGAGGTGACAGCCCCGAGGTGTCACGCACAGCACAGCCAAGCTGTTTTTCACCGGGGGGGGTTGTTTCTGGGTTTTCTTTCCTCACAGCAGCGCCTGACCGAGGAGCTGCAGACGATGGAGAACGGCTACCATGATAACCCCACGCTGGAGGTGATGGAGACCTCCTCCGAAATGCAGGAGAAGAAGGTGAACCTCAACGGCGAGCTCGGGGACAGCTGGATCGTGCCTCTCGACACCCTAATGAAGGAGGACCTGGAGGAAGAGGAGGACACACATTTATAGGATACAGAACTCCATCAAGCATAAAACGACCACCGACCCCCGCTAAAAAAAAAACCAACAACATAATCCCTACACACAAACACACACAACTCCAAATCAAGGCAAAATTCCCACCAAAACCCAGAAAATCCCTTAATGAAGTAATCGTGGCCCCTCGTGGGGTGCAGGATGGAAGGAGGAGGGACACAAGACAAAACTTCTGGGAGATGTCATCAACGCAAGCCACTGTGGTGGTGGCTGCATCCGGATGAGCATCCTCCATCACCCATAGGACCAGCCAAGGGCAAACGCAGTGGCTTTGCTCACGAAGGGCTGTTGGTGTCTCCTCCAAGCACGTCCCCTCCCATCCCGCATCCGAATGCGGCCTCCAGCTATCGAGCAACTCAGAACAATAAAAATAAGTGTAAATAGGATGGGAGAGGGAGCACAACTCCCGACGGCAACCTGGCACCTGGCAATTAGAGCTAGAAAAAATCCTCTGGCCCACGCAGTTTAGTCATCGCTCTGCCCTCCCTGACGCCCAGGTATCGAGCGGAAAAAAGCTGGAACAGGCTGTTCCTTTTTAATCCACTTTCCAACCTCTCCCCATAAATTGCCAGCTCAGACACACAAGAGCTCCAGGTTGTGCCATAGGCAAAAGGATGCATCCAGACCCGGCTGGACGGGGGGGGATGCAGCAGTGCCAAGTGATGCCCGGTCCAGTGCCACCACCAGTTGTGCCACAAAGGGACATATCCTGCACCCTGCTGGAGACCAGGAGCTGCAGCAGCTTCTCGTACAGATGCAAAGGGGAGGAAAAGGAGTCAGCCCTTGAGTTCACCGCTCCTAGGGTTTAATGAGACCAAGAGTCATGAGGTTGGGGGTTTTGTGGTGCATGAGCCCAGCTCTGCTGCTGCATTTCCCTACAGCAGAGTTAATTGCCTTACAGTAATTGCACAGCAGCATCTCGCGGCCCACATCCATCCTCCCCCGACACCGTGGGTTAGGTGCATCGTGATGGTTTGTGACTTCTGTGGCCACGTTTTCCTGCGTGAAGAGGTAAAAGAGCAGTAGAAACACGAGCCAGGGAGCTTGGTGATGTTTAAGGTTTTCCATGGGTACAGCCCTTGCTGTTTCTTCCCCGTGAGGTTTATACGTTCAGTTCACATCCTCAAGCTTTGCTTCAAAAGCAGGTAAAACAGCAGAGACCTGCAAAGAAAATTCCAGCTCAGCAGCAAAGCTGGGACTGAGCTTCGCCCTGCAGCCCTTGGTCCCATGTCCAGATCTCCTTTTGCTGTAAGTCTTTAGAGGGGGAAAGAAAAACATGCAGGAGGAGAAAGTGGTGGGACTGAGGCCATTTCTGGTTTTCCACTCCCCATCACAGCTCCTAAATGGCTTTAAAAGGATGGGCAGAGTTTCACACCTTGGCTCTGGCTTTGGTGAAGCAACAAGAGCAGGGCTTCATTCTCCAGCATGTGGGAAAGAGGAGAGGATGCGAAGGTCACTTGGGTGAGGGCATCTCCAAACACAAGGATGGCGGTGGTCTCAAGCCCTCTGCGAGACAGTGGAGGTGCAGATGAAGAGTGATGCCCGAGCACAGCCCTTCCTCTCCTCTGCTTGCCACAAAATCACAGTGAGGTGATGTCCTTTGGGCTGTGCCACCCAACCGGGTCAAACATGATGGAGATCTGCTCCCATGTCCACCCTGAATGAGAAGGAAAGTGGAGCTGGGCAATGGAAAGCTTGGAGAAACCCCAGTCGAGTCAGTCCTTGGGAGTACCCACACAGGAAAAGGTCAGGGTGGTTTGCTTGGCCCCAGGACAGAAGCTGGAAGAAAATTTGCCTTTCAAAGGGCATCTTTTCCCTTCTCTCCTGCACCGAAGGGCAGAGATTTGAAGTGTTCAGACCTATATATTTTTGTATGTAAATATTCCTGCTATTCATTAGCAATGTATTCAGCACACCCCACTTACCTGTGCACTGCACTACGGGGAAGTACTTTTGGAGGGGGAGAGGGTATTAAAATAAAATAAATAAAAACAAAACAGGAAAGAGAAAGCTAAAGGCCATGGTAGGGGATCAAAATTCAACACAAAGCAGGAAAAGGCCTCCTGCCCAGATAACCCCGTGCCACAGTTTTGTCCCCGCTCCATCAGCGTCGGGTTCAGGTCTCCAACGTCGCAGCGAGGCTCAAGGTACCGCTCTCCACGTTCCCAATTGCGGTCGTGAGTGCGTTTGCTTCCCTGTTGCCCCAAGAGCAG